AATGTAAAAATGCCAGGATTACTCATTGTCTAGCGAACATGATGACCAGCTATTCTGTCTGGTCAGTACCACTGGTTTCGGTAGGCTTGTGGCAGAAATGGCACCCCATTGCCAACTGCCATCCCAAATGATCCTTAGCGGCAAAGTGGTGTTGGGATGTTAGGCAACTGATGCAGCAGCAATTAACCAGGATGCAGGTGGAACATTTTATAAGTGACATCTGGAGCAGCCGCAGTGCAAAATATTTGCTTCTCACCTCCTTCCTTCCTTCCTTCCTTCCAGCCCCCACCAAGCTCAGCAGCCAACAAGGCTCGTGTGTGTCCATCTCCCGTCCTCCCCCCCCCCTGCAGGAGCCAAGGTGGGCCGGACGAAAGGCGTGGAGTGTCAGGTGGCAGGTGTCGTGGGCGATCAGGTTCTGCTTTGTTGGTGCTGAAGGCCCAGCGGAGCAGAAAGATGCAGGAAGGGACGGCAGAGCAGGGGAGACTGCAGGCCCCCCCACGGGCTTCCTCTCCCCCTTTTCCCACCTGGAGAGCCCCCCGAGAGGCCAGGCGCGTCAGGAGGGAGATCCTCCTGCGGTTTTAATTTCAGCTTGGAAATCCAGCCAGAGCCACACACGGCTGTTATTTGGAAAACCATTTGTCCTGCGCACTTGGTGGCAAGGAAAATTGATATTATTCCTCTCTCCACTTCATCGAGCGGGGTGCTTGAGGCTCCTTTGCTGTTCAAAGTTCCTGCTTCCCCGGGCCACCCCTTGGGAATCTGGTCAGTCTCGTGTGCCTCCTTGCACCCTTGAGGGCTAGGATCTCACCTTTTAAAATAGCCACGCGGATTCTTCAAGAACCACAGCCTCTGTTCCCCCAAAGTTGCATTCACGTGTGGTCCACCCAAGCCCTCCGTGTCTCTCCTTCCCCCCTCGGGGCCCCTCTTTGCGTCCCAGTGAATTTCAGCTTCCAATGGAGAGTTGCAGCTCAGAGTCCTTCAGGACAGGGGCTTGTCCACTTTTAACAACACACACACACACACACAGAGCGAGAGAGTGAGCTTTGAAACACGGGCACACACACACACACAGGTATTGCAGGCTTAGCTTGCACTTAAATCCTGCAGGGAGCATGATGTCATTTTTTTTTTTTTGAAATGTAAAGATGCTTTTAATGTAAAGCCCTCTGCACGCTCAGCCCCTCTCACTCCCTCTCACGCACACACAGAGGGACCTTCTCTGGACGAGGCCAGGCATCCAGCGGAGCAGCTTCCCAACCATCTCTGCTGCTTATCGGGGGCTTCTCCGCCCTTCTCAAGGCTGGGTGAGGGTAGAGGGGGAGGCAGCTTGAAATATTCAGCCTGCTGGAGAGGAAACCAGGACCTTTTTCCTCCGAGGTCTAAATGCAGACATTGGTCTTGACACGCCGGCTGCAATGCGTTGGCGCTAAAATGCCTGTGCTTGTGTTCTGCAGGAGTAATTCGTCAGAGCTTAAGAAAAATAGGTTTCAAAACAAGGCCAACATGTGAAAAACTTCCCTTTTACATTGTTGTTCTTTAGATGCCTCCGTCGGCAAACAGGATTATTGTCACCCAAACGCGTTAGGTGACTGCTGTGTTTCCATCCTGTTGGTGTTTCTGGGCCTGGTCAGTGAGCTTTACGCTTTCTGTCCTGGGTCCAGGGATGGTTCAGGGCCACCTGGACAGCTAGATCCAGCTGCAGAGGTCCCCCCCCAGGTGATCCCTCAGTTTTAAGCAGCCATAAAGCCGTATGTATGTGTGTGTGTTTCCCACCCTTGTGCTTGCAACGTGCCACGTTCCATTGCCAACTTTTGAGCATCCACTCAAACACAGCAGTGCCCGGTGGTAGCAGCAGCTTGGACTAGCATATGATCCTTGGAGCCCAATTTGGGGCACGGATGGTCCAAGACGTCTCTCCCAAAATGTGGGTGCTCCACTTCCGTTAATCTTTAGGGGTGCTTAAGTTCTTTGCAGACGGAACCCTCCGTGGGGGTGGAGCGTCGAAGAGACGCTTCGGGAGGGGAGGGATGAGAACGAACCACCGGGAGGGTCCAGAGCCCTCCATGCCCACCCGGGGCCGTCTCGATGGCGCTGGAGAAGCCCCTCTGCCTCTCGGGTTCTGCAGACGGTCTGGAGAGGTTTGCCCTCCTGAGTGCCAAAGAGGAAGGACTGGCGGGCGCCCGGGCAGGACAGGGAAGGCCCCCGCCAGGCGCCGGGCTTTCCAGAGCAGCCGTGGAAAGAGGAACCTCTGGCGGCAGTGGGGGGGGAAGGAGGGCAGGAGGGAGGGTGGGTGCTGATCTGGCAACTTCTTGAGGTTTCTGACGACTCAGGGAGAACGGTGGAGCCGCCTGGTAAGGGTGGGCAGACCGTGGTTTGGAAGACGAGAGGCGGCGGCAGCAGGAGAGGGACAGCTCGTGTCCGGATGCCCTCCTGTGCAAGGTTCCTTTGATGGCCTTTGAAGCCCCCCCTTTAACCAAACCCCACCTGCCGTGGGTCCTGTGCTGCGGCTTATTCTCCAAAAGGCACAGCTGCTGATTGCAGGCGACGCTGTTCCGTGTGCTGGGATTCAAGCGAGTCCGATGCCTTCCTGCCCCTCCCGCCAGGGAGCCTGTTCCCCCCCCCCCCGGGGCCTGAGAACCCTTGCAAGGGATGGAGAGCTGATCTCTCATTGTGCGGAGATGGACCATGCCAAGGAGAAAGGAGACCTTTATATCATCCCTATTTGCATGGCTTGAAAATAGCTCTGGTGTCATCTCATCTGCTTCTGGTGATTTATTTCTTCTAAGTGCTTTGAGAGAACCTTTTACTTCACTTTCTAAAACTGCAAGTTCTTTGTTATTGGATTCCTCTTCGAAGGAATCTTTCGTCCTTGTATCTCTTCTGTATAGTTCTTCGGTATATTGTTTCCACCTTCTCTTTATTCAATCTGATCAGGTAATATATTCCCTGTTCGCCTTTTAGCATCCTTAAAGCAGTCACTTAGCTCATGACCTAATGCCCGGATGTTGATGTAATGAACGCTTTGAGAGCTTGCAACCAGTCATCCTATTTTGCTCTGTTGCTGTTGCCACAATCATCTCCTCTTGGGTCCCCTCGCAAGGAGAAAGGGAGCACCTACAAATGATACCAAATAAATACATAGTAGGTTGCAATTCAGGAATGTGTGCGCTACAATAAACCCTTTGGGCTTAGCGCCGTCGCCTTGCTTGTATCCTCTTCCTTCCCGGCTTATCCATGAGCGAGTTTTCCTTTGGTCTTCCCATCCTTGCAGCTGAATTCTCCCATGAATCCCGTCAGCAGCACCGAAGATATTAAGCCTCCCTTGGGGATCAACGGTGTCCTGAAAGTGCCGGTGCACCCGTCCTCGGCCATGGCCTCCTTCACCAAGCACATCTGTGCCATCTGCGGGGATCGGTCCTCAGGTAATGGCCAGCTTCCCAGCCGATGGGCTAAGGGAGGGTGTGTGTGTGTCTGGCTGGCTAGCCAGGGTGATGGCAGGAAAATAGGCTAGAAAATTGCTCGGTTTCTCCCACCAAGATCAATTAGAAACAGGCTTGGCCTCTAGCTTTCCCTCGGTGTAGCCGCGAGGCAGTAGAAGGAGGACTCCGAAGAGCTGTCACTTGTGGGGACGTTGGACCAGGTTTGTCCTCCGTCGCTCTGGCCCGGCGCCTCCCAACCGCCGGAGGGGTCCCCAGATGTGCTGGGCGTGCAGTTCCTTTTGCCACTGGCTGTGCCAGCCAAGATTTCTGGGAGTCGTAGTCCAAGAACGCCTGGGGACCCCAAGTTGGGAGCCGCAGCTCCCGAGGAAAGATCCCGAAGGAGGGGATCCCAGTGAGGAGAAAGGACATATTCTGCCTTAAGCCTCAGGAAGAACTTCTTGACTGCAAGAGGGGTTCAAGAGCAGGGAATGGGCAGGGGACCCTCCCGGGCTCCGGAGCCTCTCAGCCTCCTCCCACCGGTCTCCTTTCCTTCCGCCCCTTCCGGCTTCCAGGTAAACACTATGGGGTCTACAGCTGCGAGGGCTGCAAGGGCTTCTTCAAGCGGACGGTGCGGAAAGACCTCACCTACACCTGCCGCGACAACAAGGACTGCTTAATCGACAAGCGCCAGAGGAACCGATGCCAGTATTGCCGCTACCAGAAGTGTCTCGCGATGGGCATGAAGCGGGAAGGTAAGGCGCCAAGGGGGAGGGGCAAGAGGCGCACGCCAGGCCAGGCGGGGCAGAGCCACCCGTGCACCACGAAACTGTGAGGTCTGGGCATGGCTGGCTGGCGCAGGCGGGCAGGAGGGAGGGAAGGAGGGCCAAACTTTTCTCCTCACCGTCCTGTCCTGTCCTTGATGTAACTTTTCTGCAGTGGACAGGGAAATAATACGTAAGGAAGAACGTTTTTAGCCTCGCTTGTTTCCCATTGAGTTTTCTCTCTGTTGGTTTTGGGTTTGGTTCGTTCCACGTGCCGCCGGAGCGTTGATCTGTGCTTTTGCTGGACGGTCGGGTCTTTCGCTTTGGCCGGGAGCTCGCGGTGCGCGGCCCCTTGTCTCTACAGAGCCCAGAAGAGCCCCTTCATTTGGGCAGCGAGGGAGGGACGCCCTTGTCACGCTAAGCAAGCCCGATGTGCTCAGTTTACGGGGTTATTTTGGGATGTGCCAGCGCCGGGGGCTGGAAATGTCAAACCCGGCGCTTCTCTGGGAAGGAGATTCCCGCCGACCCTGGTGGTGACGGATGGAAGGGCTCTAAGGAAGGAATCCAGGAGGGGTGGGATTCCCTATATCCCCCAAGGAGAGGACCTTTTCTGCCAGGGCCGGGTCAAACCCCTCCTGCTTGCCTGGGGGATTCCAGAGGGTCTCCCTCACCCCGTCCACCCTCCGGCCTCTTTTGTCCTTCATGTTTTAGGTGTTCTCTTCAAATTCTGCTCTATCTATGGGGGGGGGCAGTTTATTTGATGCTTTGCTTTGGATTTATCTCTTTGCAGGCAGAGTTTGTGTCTGATTTTTCTCTGCTCACGTGAACCGTTTTTAGTGAACCGTTTAAGGGAATACGTACGTACCTTTTAGGCTGCATGCATGATTGGGTGTTGGGCTGTATGAGTCAGGAAGGGATATTTTGGGGGTTTATATCTATAGCTATATGTATATAAATCACCCAGCCTGACTCTGGCATTGTTGACGCCTGCAGAACAATCTCCCCGTCGACCTTGGTGGAGAGCCGTTCTCTCCTACCCCACCCAGCCCAACACGCATTCACAGAGGCAGGCAGGCAGGCAGGCGCACAGGCGAACGTGGCCCCGATTCGTTCTCTGAAGGAGGGGGAGACAGGATGCATCCTTGAGTTAAAGCTTTCCTGATGTTGCTGTGGCTTTTCCTCTCTCTGCCCCCGAAATCTTCCTGGGACCCGAACAGAAGCAGCCCTTGTGAGCCTGCAAAACCAAGCTTTTCTTTTTCAAAAAGAACAGAAACTCTTAACAGAGAACAGGCCTTCTCCTAAACACTTTTAGGGCAAGTTCATTGCAGAACCGTTTGGAGAGAATTCACCAGGGTGCTCCTGAAGCGTGAGAGGCAAACAGACAAAGATCAAGTGGGGAGAAAAGTGGAAGATGCTGAGCTGGAGAAAGAGGACCATAGCAAAAGCGTGCATGTGAAATTAAGAAAGCCAAAAGGAAACGGAGAGGAGAATTATGGCGTAAACCTGGAGAGCTTTAGGCTTGAGGACTAGTACCTTGAGGTTGGCTTCTGAACATGAAAAGTCTGAACGTTAAATAGCAGACGCAAGGAAGGGACATGTCGTGAAAGGCTTTAATACTTGGGGACCGGACCCTTAATTCTTTGCTCCAAATACCTGAGATCCTTTCTGCCTTCTGCCCGTTGTTGTTCCTGAATCCTACCATACACGGTTCCTCCTAGAAATAAAACCTGCATTTTAAAAAAGGAACTAAATAAATCCGAGCTAGAGCAGATTCTGTGCAGCGAAGCTGAACTCCATCGTCTGTGCAAATTGGGGGAAAGTGAGGAAATAGGCACATATTGGTGGATGCAAACTAGCTTTTAAAATTAACATGCGGCCCTTTTCCCGTCAAACTGCTGACGGTTGTCCTGGAATGACTTCGCAGGACTGGTAGTCATGCCAGTGACCTCTCCCTGAGCCTTCTGCTGTCGCTGCTGCTGTGGCCGTTGTTTCTCTCTCTCTCTCTCTCTCTTTCTCTCTCTCTCACACACACACACACAATCATGAGGGAGGGGGAACCTGGCACGGACTTATCTTGGGAAGCTGGAAAGGTGCCTTGCAAAGGAGCGGAGTGGAGAAGGGTCCTCAGTGAGGGGGAGGCCCCCCTCTGGCTGGGCACCCCAAAGGTCCCAGGGTCTGCAGTGCCACCCCCACCACCCGGCCTCTCCAGGCAGGGCTGGGGACAGCTTTAGTAGCCCAAACGCTGGACGGCGGCTGCCGCCCCCTCAGAGCTGCCAGTCCTGGGCCAAGATGGGCCAGGAGCCTCATAAAAGTTCCTCCAGGCCAAAAAACCTTGGGTTTTGTGGCTTGGTCATGAGCATTAAATATCTGCAGAATTGTGTACAAGAATTAAAAGCTGTTAAATGTTCTTGAAAACATGTGCCAAAACTAGCCCTGAGGACTAGTTACTTGTTTTGCACGAACAGATTGAAAATCTGGGATGCGTGGGCCATGCTTCCCTTTGGAACCTCTTCCATAGGGTCCTTTCCAGCTCTGCGGTTCGAAGGTGACACGGATGATGATGAAACCCTTCTTCTTTTGACTCTCTCTCCCTTTCCTTCCTTTGTGGGTCCTGCTGGTGTTGCATGAAGCCTAGTCAGCCTGCGAAACAAAGTGGCAAGGAATTAAGAAAAGAGCATCAACCATCCGTTGATACAAATGTAACGATGTTTCGGCTGGGCCAACGAGCCCTTGTTTGTATTAGTTGGAGGGGTTTGTCCTCAACGCCGCTTCCCAAAGCTGGCAAACATCGACGAAGCGCCAAACTTTCCTGCTGACAGAGGCGTTTTTTACTGCTAAGGGGTGCTCACCAGGGAGATGGAAAAAGCTCTCGCTGAGTACCCCGATTTGAGCTCCAGGCTTTGCAAAAGGGTTTGGATCCCTGCAAACAGGAAGATAATCTACTTGAGCCTGTTGTGATCAAACCCGGCTCACGAGCAGAGTCTTGACCGCAGCGCTGCAGTAGAACCACTGGCCAACTTCGGTCAGCTTTGCTAACACTGGCGGGCGCCAGCCGTGGCTCTCGTGCGCTCCAGGCAGGATTGCGTCGTAACCCCACCTTAAGAG